GAGTTTCATGGAAGTAGGCCAAGGCCCAAATTGGGGCTGTAGCGCCAAAGGGGAAAAAATCGTCGTTAAATAAATGAAACTTGTTACTTTGTCGCTTGAGGACGCAGAGAGCCGGTGTTCCGTTTGGAATCGCAGGTGATGGACGTAAGTCCAGAAAGCAGTAATCCGAAATTGATTGTTCTATTTTCAGGTGTTTACTGTACGTAGTACCTGTATTTCTGTCTTGAGCAACAGCTGCCTCCTCTGACCCTTGACTGCTGTTTTCTGCACACAGAAATATTGCTGCAGATTACATGATGTGTGAGGTCCGGAAATAGCGGCATTGTGACATATACATATATGCTATTTACCTCATTTTGCAACTAAGGAGATCAGCTCAGTGGTAACGTGTACTCCGGAGCTCTCTGGTTCAAGTTTTGACTCGGAAACCAACTGAAGTATGGAGTGGTTTTCCCCGGGCAAACGCTGGGAGTATAGCTTCAGAAATACCACGAACACTCCTTTCCAAATCTATTCTTGCGCTCTTTTCATGTTCCTAGTAGTTGGTTGAGGCACTATGCTGCAAGCCGGAATGTCGCATGTTCAATTCCCGATGAAGTAATTGGATTTTTCAATTAACCTAACCCTTTCAGTCGCACTATGACTCTGGGGTCGACTCAGCCTCTAATAGAAATGAGTACCAGAGATCTTGACCTAATCCTTCCATCCGCACTGTGGCCCTGGGTTCGACTCAGCCTCTAATAGAAACGAGTACCAGAGATCTTGACCTAATCCTTCCATCCGCACTGTGGCCCTGGGGTCGACTCAGCCTCTAATAGAAATGAGTACCAGGGATCTTGACGTGATCCTTCCAGCCGCATTGTGGCCCTGGGGTCGACTCAGCCTCTAACAGAAATGAGTACCAGGAATTAATTAAATAATTTTCCTGGGGAGTAAAGCGCGGCCGGCGCGTAAGGCTGACAACCACACCGCCACCTTTGAGCCGATTGTCTAGATAATGTGGGATCCTTTACGTCTCACAACTCTGTGGGTCTTCACGGCCTGTTACAGGGATAGCTTGGCATGTAAGGCTGATAACCTGACCGCAATCTGTGATCAGTATGTCTAGAAAATGTGGGAGCCTCGACGTCTCACAACCCTATGGGTCTTCACGGCCTGTTACAGGGATACCTTTACCTTCCACCCTACCCCCCCATATTCGACACCTCCGGCTTATAACCTCTTGCATTGAAACGGCTTCGTTAAATAGCATCAGAATCATTTTGGTGGGTGCGGTTTTGTTTATTGTGTCACCGTTAGCGTATTAAGAGGATACTAGCGTTTCAGCGAAACAAGTTTCATGGTAGATACTCGTATGAGTCGTGTTGTGAATTGGTTTCACGGCCCTGGAGATGGAAGCAGTAGGTTCTTTCGAAACACTGATTATCACCTACTACGTTAAATGGTGTCATAATGCAGGACACCTCAGTTCATGTCATCAGCACCGTGGAAACCACGGGTTTCAGTTGGTTTCCAGTGTTAGTAACATTTTTCTCTGTAAAATAAAAAGAAAAGTTGGAGCCGGAATTTGTAAGGCCATTCGGACCTCACGTCACGGTTTCTGCTAAGTCATATTTTTGTGAGATAAGAATGTATATCCTTCCAGCGTGTGAATGATGTGTTTCAGGGGAATTTTTATGCAAGTTTTTGAGTTGCTGAATTCATGAATCATATGTGATGCATCTTCCATTTCCAAACTTGCATTGTACATACATACTTTTGTTTTTTCAAGGACAACTGTTTTGCAGTGTGCATGATTTTTCTTGCATCAAAGTGTTGTGTGCTATTTTACATTCTCATACTTTTTTGAACATTTTATAATGTCCTTTTTTGGTCAACAATTTTTGCATCAGCCACATGTGCATCAATTTCAGATAAAGTTTGTTGTCAATAATGGTTCATATTTTAAACGTTTGTAATATGATACTTAGTTTTACAACACTTCCAGAGTCATTATATATGTATATTTTTTTTAGTGGGCAAATATATATTACTAATTTAGGCCTGAAGGAATTTGTTTTATAAGTTCCTAGTACGGACTCTTCGCTATGTCTGTTCTGGGAAACCGAGCCTAGATCCGTACTTACGTAGTATCATGTTCGCCGCGCTTCTTCTGATCCAATTCGAATACCACCTCGGCTCAAGATACCCACAGTTTTACTGCCACGGAATCAACACAACAGTTACTCCCATCTGGAGGTTTTGCCTTGGACTAACTTTTGCTCCCTCCAGAAGATAGAACAATTGTCAGGCAAAGCCTCTTCCAGAAGGCTCAGTGAATCCGGAAAGTCCAGAACAAATGCTGTGGGAATATAAATATATTCTAAATATTTTTTTATTTGAAAAACGTCGAAAATAATGTAATGATATACTGAGTTTGTAGAATCCGCAACTACCTGTCATATTAAAGATAAAATGACTTTGGGAAATGTTGAATTATTGAATATTCTTCTTCTTCTATTTGTATCCATTCCGTTTTATATGGGTTAATGGGCAGACATTTTTATTTCGTCTCATGATTTTTCTTTCCGATTTCTTGCTAGTTCTTGCCTCTCTTATTGACGTCTTCCATTAACTGGCCTCTTGTTTTGGAAACTACTCACGTTACCATAATCATCTTGTCTTTCTAATGTTAATACGAGTGGAAGTCGGTAAATAGATCACAAATTGAAGTAAAATAGCTGTAGTGGACGTAATATGTTTTCTGTGTGCATCACTAGGTCGCAGAGCAGTCTAGTTTCATGACAGTCTAGGTAGCAGACGTACATGCATATGTTCAGAGGCTGGTTTCAGTAGTCAAAATGGCGATCATGCCTGAGGAGTGTATTACGGAAGAACAGTGTCCTTTTATGCGTTCTTTTGGGTAAAAGGGCCAAATGCAAAGGATATTCATAAGGAAATGTTTCCTGTTCATGTTGGGAAGTGGTCGCTTAAAGCGGTTCCACCTTTTTATCAAGCGTTCTGCTGACGAAGAGGTTGAAACGGAGGTGAGGAAGTGGCTGAGACAGCAGACAAAAAGACTTCTGTGCTGCTGTTTCGGCGCACTGGTAAAGCGATGGGACAAGTGTATCAGTGTTGGTGGAGGATATGTCGAGAAATAATTTTTTTTTTCAGGTTCGAATATCACATGTCTTACGCTTTATATCCATTTGTGACCTGTTTACTGACTCTCCCTCATGTCAGAATTTCCGTTCATTAGTTACTTCATAAGAGAGATTAACACAAAAGCGAAGTGTTGAGTGTACTTTATTTTGAGCAAGAAATGGGAACGGGAAGATTTTGAGAAGGAATAAGATTGAAGAATTTTCATCCATCGACGCATATTAAAACGGAAATGTTGCTGAAAGAAGGAAAAGAAGAAATTTGGTGGTTCATCATAAAAGTTATAGTGTGCCTAACAACATAGCCTTACGTATGTGTATAGAAAACAGCACAAAAACTAATTTCAGTAATTCCACAAAGAGGTTTGATATCTATATTTATTTCTTTTTCGATCATTAACACAATAGAAATTTCGAGTTGAGTTTGTTGAATGAAAGAAAAGTGGCATGCTCACGTGAGCCGGTTTCTGTTGACATGAGTGCGAGCTGTGATGCGCAGTTAAAGAAGCAAAATGGTTGACCTACGCGTTGTTTCGTACGTCTAAGCACTACAGACATTTCACGCAGCACACGCTGCTTGGTTTTGTTTTTTGTTTTGCAAACAGTTGCTACGAGCTTGAATTAAAAAAAATGTGTAATATTCTTTACTTTTATACTACATGTTCTTGTTAGAAGGATCAGATGTCATGGAAAGATCCATTATTGAAACTGCGCATGCGTCGAATTGATTGGCCTTAATATACCAATTGTTACTTTACTGGATATCAGATAATCGATTCAGTACCCAAAACCAAATACGTACCAAACCATGAAGGCGTTTAAGGGGAGTGGAAGTGACGCTCCATGCATTCATATTCTCAACACTAGGTGGGAATGAGTGGCTTGCTTCGTTATCTGGAAGACTTGGCCTTGGGGAAAGGGTTGTCAGTAACTACTGGGTGGATGGGTGGACCCCCAGAACTGTTCAGAATATGGAGACAAAGGAAAATCCTGACTTGATTGTCGTAAGGGTGACGCCCTAGACTCGGATCCTGGAGATTTTCGGCCGGTACATCGGCTATCTCCACGGACGTTTGTCGTGATTTTCCCTCCACGCAGTTGCCGGGATATTACCACTACGTCGCGACCACATCTTTCCAAATCTCTTCCAGTCTTCAGTCGGTATGCCGACTGCGCTATCCCGGGTCGTATGATAATAATAATAATGATAATAATAATAAACATTTCACAATATTATTAAATGTTTTGTGATTTAAAATTATTTTAAAAACTGAAAATTGGTTTTGAGTGGGTTTCTTTTTATTCGGTGGGATACTGAATCTTGAAGATTCTGTCATAATTCTGAATTTAAAAAAAAAAAAATTTCTCGAATTTTTAGAAGATTCCATTTATTTCCGCAAATTTAAAATGAATCATCTCAAAAAGTATATTGGATAAACAGAACATTTTCTGAGCTCTGTCGAACGCAATAGAAGAAAATACGCAATACACTAGGAGGACTGTGGGCTTCAAGTGTTTGGAACCTCCTCCAAGGCGTCCCTTACAGTCTTGCCAAATTTGGTCGAAACAGGTACAGCTGTGTGAAAGTGCTGAAGGAACGGACACATTGGGTGAGAATTTATAAAGATGCGTGTTGTTGCTGTAATTTTAAATTCCACTGCTGATCCAACTAACAGTGGAACATGTGAAACGTAACCACTGAACTGAGAGACGTGGATGTGTGTCTTGAAGCATTGATTCCCTCCTCAGGGAATTTGTAGCCCATTGCCGTTCGTATGTAGCAATAGATGCACAATCTTCCTCGCAGTTCACTGGTTGGAATTGCAAGTGTTTAATTTCGTGAGATTGTGCTTATTGCAGCGGTGGACTCCAAGAATCTTATGCCGCCTGGAGAGGACGAGATAAAGGACGGTCAGTGGCTGGGTGTGACCGTCCGCAGCATGGGACCCGGCAAAAAAGTTATGGTATGCATCCTATTGAATTCCTATCAATTATGCCTCAGTTTACTGGTCTCTGCAGCGTGAATTTGTTTCATTTCTGATTCTGTTCGGTTACTGCATCTTAATTATTTTGCTTTCCTTCAACACAGTCTCTGTATAGATATTTTTCCCCCTTTTTCGCCAGAGCCCCAATTTGGGCCATGGTCTCCCTCTGTGAAACTCCGTTTCGCTTCGGTTTGCTAGATCTGCGGGTGATGAGCTTGGCTCAAATCCTCTACCTGTACACAAACACAGAAAAACACGCGCATACACACACACACACGAACACTAAACATCCATTCCGTGATTGGGATTCGAACCCACGATCGTGGCTTCCAAACGAGAGAAGACAGTGCATGCCCAGACCGCTCGGCTACCGTGACCGGTGTGTATAGATATACTACACTTTAAAACTTTGTAGCACGTCTTCAGTCTTTCAGTCATCATCGGATGATTTAGATATGTGCTCCCTTGGAGTAAAGATCTGCCAGCGTGTAAGGCTGACAACCTCAACGCCATCTGTGAGCCGATTGTCTAGTAAATGAGGGAGCCTCGACGTCTCACAACCGTATTGGCATCTACGGCCTAGTACTTTTGTTTAGGTGTGTAAACATTGGCTGATGTAGGGATAAAGGAAAAGAAATCTGTTCACAGATCATGTTTCCGGAAAGTAAAATAATAAATATACAGCACAACATGTCGCTACGGTATAGTACTCGTATTTCTAATAGTTTCATCTGCTTTTTGGCGTTTACCGCTATCTGTGGCCACGGCTCTCATTGCCTGTAACTGTTTACCATCCGTATTAGTTCCCGCCGCAGTGGCCGAGCGGTCTAAGACATGAAATGTCTTCAGCAGCTCAAACACTGGGATCGTGGGTTCGAATCACACTTGAGGCATGGATGTCTGTCCGCGACTTTTCTGTGTTTGTGTTGTCCTTTGTGTAGGTAGCGGCCTTGCGACAGGCTGATCACCCGTCCAAGGAGTCCTACTGACTCTGAAATATCCATAGTGCCATATTACTTCTGATGGGAAACAGATCAGAAAGCTTGATGCGAAAAGCAGAAGAAGGGCAAATTTCTAGGATAACGCTGTACAGTGTGGCTTTTCTCCTTAGTGTAAAATTGGGTCAAATCAGAGACTTTTGTACACAGATTACGAGAACGTTACCCGTAAATCGCATCACTATTTCATTTTTAAAATTGTATTTGTATTTTCTTTGAAGACGTAAATATAGGTAATGTCTGTACGCCGAGTCCTTCAGTGCTCGCTTAGGCTCATCTGCATTTAATAGTGGAAGCCTGGTGAAAGTCAGTCGTGTATGCTCGCACACGTAACAATGGTGGATGAGATTGGTGGTAATGTTCTGGATGTGTGAGCAAGACAGAAAGGAATTGTTTGAAATCTGCAGTCATAATGTGCCATTAAATGTCATTGTTGTTGAATTGGAACTGATTGTTTGTCGGTTCGTACAATATGAAATAACAACAATACAATTGTGGGGCTAAAGGAAATGAGCACTTACAGACACGAGTTTTTTTTGTAACATTATCTGGAAAATTAGTTGTTGATCTTATTCAGTTCAGTGTGATTAAAAGTAGATGGCATTTTTCTTGCTACGTTTGATAAACTTGCATATTAATTTCATATTTTTATTACTGATTCTCATAGTTTTTCTTAGAATTTGCATTTGAAATACTAAAAAAAAAAAAAAAAAAAAAGTCCGAAGTGTAAGACTGTAGCGCACACGGAAGAAACAAGAAGTGTGTACAACTTCTTCTATGGTAAAGTCAAGAAACCGCTTAAGAAGCTTGACTATAGATGGAGCCATAAAACTGAAGTGGATTTTTGAGAAACAGTTTGAAATGTTTGAGCTCAAAATGAAATTGTGTGCGCACGCGCTTCTGCCTGCATAATTTTAGTTTATATTAATATTTTAACAACACACCAACGAATATAAGTAACTAAAAAACATGTATACCGTTATGCTCCTCTATGAGAAATAATACAAAGTTTTGATAGAAAAGCGTGAAGGAAAGAGACCACTATGAAGACCTAGGTGTAGATGGTAAGATAATGTTTCACTGGATCTTAAAGATATACATATAATGGAAGGGTGTGGACTGGATTAATCTTGCTCAGGGTAGTGGTGGGTGTTGGGCTATTGTGAACACGGTAATGAACCTTCATATTCTATAAAATGTTGGGAAATTTTTAGAGTGGCTTAGCAACTATCAGCTTGTCAAGAAAGACTCAGTTCCGTGGAATTGTGGTCCCCCAGTCGTATTTAATGTCACATATATAAAACATGTACAGGATGATCCAGTATGTGATCTATTAATAAAATCTTTATTTCAGTGACAGTGCTAGGAACTACCATACAAAAAGAAAGACCATGGCATGGAGATTTATCCTCTGTGTGTTGCCTAAACTTGCAGTTCAAAACAAACATCACAGAATGGCATTCGCTGAATGGGCTCAGAACAATGAGATGTCATTCAACAATGTGTGGTTTTCTGGTGAGGCACACTTCCACCTGAATGGTGAGGTTAATAAACAAAATGTGCGATTTTGGGTGTCAGAATCCACGTGTAATTCGTGAGAAGGTGCCTCATGCACCGAGAATTACAGTGTGGGTCGCCATCTCAAATCGTGGGCTGCTAGGGCCAGTTTTGTTTGAAGAGACAGTGAACAGCGAGTGCTATTCAAGCATGCTGAGCAGTACTTCTGTGCCTCACCTTCTTGCTACAGGTTTGCCATTACAAAATCAGTGGGTCATGCAGGCTGGAGCCAGGCCTCACATGGCGAATGTTGTTTTGGGATTTCTGCATGCCAGTTTAGACTCTTCTGTCAACCCAAACCGATTTGCTGATCGTTTCACATAAACGGAACTGGCTCCCGAATAGTCCCATGTGTCTGCTTTCTCTGAGGATTCCTTAAGGAAAAGATTTTTCCGAAAAGCCACAAACAATAAAGGAATCATTCAGGCCTGCAATGAGATAACTGAGGATATGTGCCATCAAGTAATCAAAATCATCACAGTTCATGCTGAAGAAGTTGCCACATAATGGTGGTCACATTGAACACTTGATTCACAGAGGATAAATCTCCAAGCAGTGGTCTATCATTTTGTATGTTAGTTTCTAGTATTGTAATGGAAATAAGGATTTCATAAATAGGTTCAGTACTTGAATTATCTCGAGGCCTGGCACTGTCCAAGAACCGTTGGTATGATGCTGACGTATGAATGAATGAATGTGTAAGGGTTGGGCCTTCTTGGCCCTTGCACCGTGACCACAGTGATCTGTTGTACCTCCCCTTCTGATTATCCCCTCAACAATCCTGCGCTTTGAATGAAGCATAGGATTTTGTACGTGGGGATGCCGAAATAGTCATTTGGTTATGCTGCTGTATGCTCCGTATGTTGTTTGCTGTAGGTGTGTGCTCACCGCTATATGAGAAAGGGTTCTGACTACCAGTGGGGACAAGGTCTATGCTACACGCTAAGTCAGTTTTTGGACTACGACGAGACATGGGAACCTTGCAAGGGCAGACCTACCAACAGGTAATGCAAAATTGTACATTTAATTGTCTAATTAGGTTTATGTGCAGGTTTGCAGAGGGAGGGTAGAAGCCGGTCCTTCCTTCATAGACTCCAGTACAGAACTGCCTATCAGATGACTGTCCCTTGCTTATAACTTATCAGCACGGATCACGCAGAAACATACCGTTTCCATTGTTATGGTTCAACTGTTGCATCATTAAGACTGCTGCATAGCAATGTGAACATGTTTACAGAGCCATTGCCCAGAAACGGGTCTGGTACTATATCGGGCCATTTCATGGTCGTTGCATAGGAATGGTTCTACACGTTCCAGTGAGCTGAGTGTATGAACATTAATGTCTCTGGGACTGTCTTCAACCGCTCGAAAACTGGGATCATGGGTTTGAATCAGGGATGTTTTTATTTATTCTGTGTTTATATATATGTAGCAGCCTTGCGATGGGCTGATCCCCCGTCAAAGGAGTCCTACCCACTACCTTATGATTTTGAAACTGAAGTGAAAGGAGGTGTTCCACTGATGTTCCAACGTAGTAGTCCTTTGTGGGGAGTCTGTTGTGTGCAGCAGTTTGCTACCCTGAAGATGGATACAGCAGATTCTGCTGAAATGTTGGTAATGATATATAGAAGGCTACGTGTCGACACATCCTACAGGATAGTAATCTTCAGTGTTACAGTTGGATCTTTGGCCAGCCCAAGGTTCAGGTCTTGGGGTCCAGAGACAGGCTAGCCTGATGGAGGGGTTTTCTCCTTCCTGTTCCTCTGTGCAGACTCAAGGATATTGTCTCAGATAGGCCACAACTGTTTACAGTTCTTCACAAGTTTTCCAACCATGTGACGCTGTGTAGTCTGAATTACTGACAGCATCACAAAATATATCATAAGTATTCATAATTAACGAGTGGAAAGTTGTACTCCTGTCTGAATGCTGTATGTACTCAATATGTTATGTGCTGTTTTAATTACGCCATTGACTGTGATTGTTTGCTGCAGACACGAAGCTAGACACATCGTATTGTCTGCATCAGTCTGAGCCTTGCACTCAGTGCTGGCAGGGGGAAAGGGGACAGCCAGGCATCAGACCTTTCTTGGTTTTTGAAGTAGTCAAAATTAAAAAAAGAGGAAGGAAGTATATGAACAGGAAGTTCTAAGAAGAACTAATCTCCTGCTTTCCTCTGATCTGACATGGAGCACTGTACAGACACACAGAGAGAGTAGTGATCTCATAAGCCTCCTTGACACAACATGGAGTGCACAGAAAATGAAAGAATTAGGGGACACACACAGACAGCAAGGTGATGTGATAAGCCTCGTTTATTTTTTTTTTTCAAATTAAGAAAATATTCTAAAAATTTACCAAAAATTAAAATTATTTAAAAACATTGTCCTTCTCTCTAGAATACCCTTGGACGATAAGTGAAAATGAATTACAGTAGGTAGTGTTTATTTCTGTGTCAAACAGTAGAGCAGGCTGTGCATGGCCCCAGCTTCCTGGTACCTACCTCTCCTGTCCACATATACATAGATGTATACTGCATTAGAGGAGAATTTATGAACCTTTGTGTTTCATTAAATATTCGGTACAATAAGAAAGCGGTGCCATATAAAACTTATAGAGATTAACAAGGTCTGCAGTTTTGTTATGCCCCAGTATTTTGGGAAAATTGATTTGTTTGGTTTGATTCTCATGAAAGCAAGCTACATTTTGGGAGGTTTTCAGTTCAAATCTCACCCATGACAGTGGCTCTTCTTACAGTTTTTTCATTGTTTTTTCTTAGCCTCCCTAGGCAGGCTGGTATAGTACCTTGATTATGCTATGTTCACTTCCTTCCAAATCCTTTCCATTTCATCAGTTATCCTGACATTTGAGACAATGTGCTCTAGACGAACAAAGCACTTAGTGGGGGGTGGAGTCTAGTTGGGTCCACTTGGCACGGCAGCCACTGATTGGCCTATTGTACCTGCCCTGGGTGATTATGATGATGGAGAATTTGGTGGAAATAAGATTGGCAGGGGAAACAAAAGTACTCAGAGACATCCTACCCCAGCGCCACTTTGTCCACCAAAATTCCCACTTGACCAGACCTGGGTTTGAACCAGGGCCGCCACGGTGGGAAGCCAGCAACTAACCACTTGAGCTATGGCGCGGTGTCCATGTGCTCTAGATACTAACTCTTGTACATAAGGAGTTATACTGGACTTATATGAACCAAAATTAAATTAACTGCACAGGTGCCAGTGTGAAATTCTGCAAAATTCTGTTAAGTAGTTTCAGGGGTGAAACTTCAGGTGGGGGCCACAACTTCCACATTGCATATTGTACAAGGAAAGCGAAGGAAATGCACAGGAGTAGTACTTTCTCCTTGAATGTGATGTCTTTCAGTGTGATTCGATATTTTCCAACTGTCTGGAGAAATTTTCTGCCTCCCTTTTAAGGGTAGATCACCTTTCTACCCTGAATATGGAGGCATTATGTTCCTTAGAAAGAGTAGGAGGCTTGAGGGTAGTACAGTAATACGCAGAATGTGGATCCCCCCCACCCCCACCATCACTGCGACTTCTTCCCGCAACTTTAGCGTAAAACAGGTAGAGATATGCCTGTAACAGGCCGTGGAGACCCGTAGGTTTGTTAGAAGTCGAGGCTCCCACATTTTCTAGACAGCTCACAGGTGGTGATGAGGTTGTCAGTCTTACATGCCAGCCAGCTGCACTTTACCCCCAGGAAGGTTCCTGGTACTCATTTCTGTTGGAGGCAGAGTCAACGCCAGGGCCATAGTACAGCTGGAAGAGTTAGGTCGGTGAAAAAAATATTCAGTCACCTCATTGGGGTTTGAACTCGTGACCTTCCGGCTTGTAGCATAGTGCCTCTACCAACTACACTATGACTCCCCCACCCCTTTCGGATTTAGTATAGTAATCTTAATTGGTTTCTTGGCCACTGGGATATTTGCTTAGATAAGGCAGAAAGACTGAAAATGTTATTTTTGCTTGCAGAGCGCATGAGCAGTATGGCTACTGTCAGGCGGGAACAAGTGGTTTACTTCTGGATGACACAGCAGTGATTGGAACCCCTGGACCATACACCTGGCGTGGGACACTGTTTGTCATCAGCGTATCAGATAACTTCCTGAATCGGGACAAGACTACTTACCATGGACCCTTACTAGAACACGAATCGCCTGTTGATAAGTACAGCTATCTGGGTAAGAATGGTGCAGAATAACTCTTTCACTGTTAGAGAAGCTATGAATATATTAATCCATTGGAACCTAGACAACAGTTTCTCACGGTCACAGTATGTTCTCCTGTGTGTTGCACATGTGAGGAAGTAAGAGGCTGCAAATTAATGCAGGTGAAAATTTAAAAGAAAGGCACTTTACCATGTGAAAATGCATAACTCCTGCCATCTGTTGTACCTGTACACAAACTATTAAGGGTGATGTTGAATAATATAAAGCATAAAGGTGTAATATTCATCACACAATCAGAGTTCTATGGTAATTTATACATTTGTGATGGAGGACTTGAGATGACAACTTAATTCCAGAGTGTGTTATGAGGTCAATTTGTGGCTGCTGAAACTGTTTACATTTTTACAGGAATGTCTGTAACTGCAGGACAGTTCTTTGGCAGTAAGATTGCATATGCTGCTGGCGCACCAAGGGCAAATGGAACTGGTCAGGTTGTAATCTTCACCAAGAAACGTCCAACAGAGAATCCAATGGATGTGCGGCTGATACTCAGTGGGGAGCAGTTTGCTTCCAGCTTTGGATATGAACTGACAAACGCTGATATCAACGGAGATGGGTAAGATGAGAGATTCTTCTGATAGTAGAACATATGTGCTATGGTGTTAGGAAGCTCAGCCATGTTCTAAGCATGAGGGATGCCTTCATGCCATCAGAGTGTAACTTTTAGATATTATTAATTTTATGGAAGTATCATCTTAGTTGCAGTCATAGAGATGAAATCCAAAATTGAAAATGAAGGAAACTAACACAAGAAACTGATCTCAAACATATCTGTAACTTGTGTCCATTCAGTTCGATATCAGAATCTGCAGAAGTGTTGTTACAATGGTAGCTAATGGTATGTTCTCAGAAATGTCAGAATTGTCATCATAAATACTTAGGGAAAATAACTCTTACTTATACTCTCTGTTTCTTGTATGGGTCTCACAGCTTTGTTCCTTTGTTTGTGATAACAAAATGTCCAAAGTTGTTTTATTATAATGGAATTTTGCTTTGTTTTTAAGGAGAACCCAAGCTATCAATTTTTGGTTTTAGAGTACATGTGACCATTTCACGTGATGCAGAAAATAGTGGACCCATGCATTGTGTCACTGTGTTGGAAGAACACACTGCCAATTTTTATCATTACACCGTCTGAGTGTAATGTTTAAACAGAGGATCTTGCAACATTACTACCTTGTACTTCCGTTTTATTTATTTTTGGGGGGGGGGGAACTGTCTCCCACCTTCATGTTTCTATCCTAGTGTGTTTGTGTGCTGGCAAGTTTTCAGTTTCATGCTTTGGCTGTTCTATCACTGGGGAAAGTGAGGTCCCCCCAACTTTGGTAGCTGTTGAATAGGAGGCAGAAGAAGCCAGAGCCAGTCAGAACTTATTGGTAAGGGCAGAAATTCCTGACTCTGCCAAGATTCAGATGTGTACAGTCCCACTGAGAGTTGATGATCTTTCATTTTAATGGTCAGGCTGTCCGTCTTGAAACAGCATTGGCCGACAGTTACATGTTGGTTATGTGAATTGCAAGTGGTATGTTTTGACATTGCAGGTTATGGTCAGTTGTAACGTTCCTGGCTGGACTGACCTGTTGAGGTTCTAGTCACTCATATTGCAGTGTGATAATGTCACCAGTAGTTCTACTTTACAAGTTCTGTTCCACTGCATTGTTCCTGTTGGCACTCTTGACTCCTTGAGCTTACATCCACCCATATTGCTGTCAGATATTCAAGCGAAGATACTACATGGGCTGCTGTATCTGGTATTCCTGTGTTGCACAGAGTTTCGGCCAGGATTGTCAAGATTGTCCATTTCCTTTACCGACTGAACTACCTGAGCTCATGGTGAAGGATTTGCTTTGGAAGAGTGTAGAAGGTTATGTGTCATGATGATGTTCCTGTTGCAGATTTCCTGATCTTGTAGTGGGTGCTCCGTTCTTCTTCAGTCGAGAGGAAGGAGGTGCTGTGTACATTTATACTAACAACAAGAACCACTGTCTGGACTGCAAGAAACCCTTAAGACTGACAGGAAAACCAGAATCCAGGTTTGCAGCTGTTCTTCCTCAGCTGATATACAGAACTATGGAGTGTCAGTTCCTTCTAACAAATCCAGTTTTGAGCATTAGCATTATTTTAGATATTGTTCACAATATCAGGCAAAGTACAGAAAGCCCATAATCCTGAACATAATGCTAGAACTCATCACAGATGAATCATATGTTGGAATTTTCTTCTGTCATTCCACATGAATAATAAAAGGCAAAGGTGTCCCTGTGCTCAACGAATTAAGCATTATGCCATGAAGGTGTGAGGGGGAATGGGTGTAAAGATCCACGTTTTCTTCATCTCAGCACTAGCTGGAGGAGAATAATAGAATGAACTTATTATGTATAGCAGTGACAAGGAATCCTTAACACACAAGGACCAATTTAAAGTTTAATGTCCCGTGAAAGCCACAAACTCCACAATATCCCATTACATGGCACAATAAGAACATTATAGCAGCAGTAATACTGTTATGCTCCACAGGTTTGGTTTTGCTATTACAAACCTTGGAGACCTAAATTCTGATGGTTATGAAGACATTGCAGTTGGTGCCCCATATGAAGGGAACGGAGCCATATACATTTACTTGGGGTCTGAACAAGGACTCATTCCTGAGCCCTCACAGGTTTGTATGCCTGTAGAAGTGTGTAATGTAAAGGACTATCAGCATGTATGTTCCTTTCATGGTTCTTATATCTTAATGACAGTGCAGTGGGTAATGCTTGACTTTGCCTTCGTTACTAGAAGCATCAGAATTGAGCTGACATGTATATGCAACAGCAGAATCATTTTCAGGTATTTCAAATTTCACATTTTCTCACTCAGTATGACTGGGGTCAACAGTGTCCAGCATGGTCAGTGTGCCGAACTGGATGAACCATATCAGTTGGGCAGATTTAGCAACTGGATGAAGTGTTATCAGTCAAACAATTTGTACCTATCAAACAAACCATATCAACCAGGAGAATCGTAGCAGTTGGACGAACTGTTCCAGTTGAAGTTGATGAATTGTACTAGTTGGACTGATACAGAATAGGCCAGTTGTACAGACCATATCAATCAGCAAATTAGATGAACCAGAGTGGACCCACCACACACTAACTTCTTGGGATGGCAGTATTTGCCACTACTGAGCCAGAATATAAAATGTTTCAGAGAGAAGCCTTCATAAATAATCAGATTTCAGCACAGAGACCAGGCATCCAGACTGACTCTTGGGCAAAATGCAGACTGATTTAGTATTAAAACAATTGTGCTTTGAAGAAATACAGTAAACCCTGTTATAAGAGACCTGGGTATACTGGGCAAAATCTAGCTGTGTAAAAATGTAAATGTATCCCTGTAGCAGGACGTGAAGGTCCATATGGTTGTGAGATGTTGAGGCTCCCACATTTTCTAGACAATCGGTTGTCAGCCTTATGCACCTGCCACCCTTTACCCCCAAGAATATTCCTGGTACTCATTTCTGTTAGAGGCTGGGTTGATCCCAGGGCCATAGTGTAGCTGGAAGGATTAGGTAAATTTAATAAATGCACCTCATAGGGATTCGATCCTGTGACCTTCCAGCTCATTGCATAGTGCCTCAACCAACTACGCTACCGCATATCCCAGTCTGGCTGTGTACAGTTGTGAATTTTTATAGATATTGAGGAACTAAGAGGTTTTTTAGTTAGAAAATTATTTAAAGTGAAAAAATAATTCCAATATATAACCTTGATTGCATGTATTGGCTATTTATCCTATGGTGTACTTCTGTAATACCCCTTCACTCTGTTACACACAAACACCCCACCCCCACTCTGCATTAGTTCGTTATAACGAGAGTTGAGTCTACAAAGGAAAATAATTCTGACTCTTTCTTGTGTGTGATATCTACAGTATCTGTAGCTTGACAGCAATTGGATATATATCTGCAGTAAATGAACATAGAGACTGGCAAGTTGTGGAACATTACAAAGGGAAGTAATTCTACGTGAAAGTACATGTATTCTGGGTGATTGCACAGAGTGACAGCATTTATGAACTGCTGACTTAAGTCTTTCCAACTTATTGTTTCAGATCCTGTATGCTGAAGATCTCCGAACGAATGGTGTGCCAATCAAAACGCTTGGTTACTCCCTGAGTGGCGGATTAGACTTAGATCAGAATGGTTATCCTGACCTCATGATTGGAGCATATGATGTTGATGCAGTGGTGTTGCTGCGTGCTCGACCCATAATCAATATCCTGACGAGTGTCGAGCCATCAGCCAATCTGCAAAACATTGACCCCAGCCGGATAGGCTGCCCAAAGCATCCCAACGCTAACCATACCTGGCAAGTCAATATTATAATCTGGCCTTTATGTATCTGTCTGCCTTCTAATTCAGTTGCAGACCGAATATAATGGGCAGTAACTAATAAATTTTTATGAAACTTCATATGAATTTCATACCATTGGTTGTCACTCCAACTGGATACTTATTCTGGAGTGAAAAGTTCTAATACTGTTTTCCATTAGTCAGTCTGTCCTTAGTTAAGAAGAGTTATGTCTTCTTGGATATAATGCCATGTAGTCTGTTGGAAGTGAACTGATGTTTCAGAGATAGAAGGTAGAAATCTTGCTGGTTTCTTTCTTGAATTATTCTTCTACCTTAGAATGGAGGTGACATGTCCCGGAAGATTCAACTCTTCAATACATCTGCTGTGAAATCCTCAAATCTTATATGTCTTTAGTTACTCTGTTAACTTTGCAAGAAGAATTCTGTTCCATGGGGTTGGTTTAGTTGTTCAGAAACTATTCAGTAAACATGGCACAACTAATATAAAGAAAATAAATGTATAATGCCTTAAGTTGACTTCTAAAAAACTGGGCTGCATGTTAAGTTTGGGGGCACATCAAATTTGAGTGAATTACTGTGTATTATCTTGCCAGCTTTACAATGTATTATCACCATTTCCAGTTCATTAGTAGTAATTTCACTTGTCAAGCCTCTGCACAGATTTAAATGTGGCAGTATTTCCCCCAGTGCTCATGTTACAGTTTTATTACCATGCTCATTAATCAGAATGTGGTAGACCATAAGAAATTTGGAGTTCCCTCTGTAGGCAGCCGTTCTTAACAAATAGACGAAATTTAAATGTATTTTGTCTCTTTGCATCATCGCGTGAGTGAGTGGATAGAAAGTGTCCAGTCTCTGCATTCTTTCCATCGAAATTTAAATGTATTTTGTCTCTTTGCATCATCGCGTGAGTGAGTGGATAGAAAGTGTCCAGTCTCTGCATTCTTTCCATGCTCCTTCCTTTTCAGTTTCTTGCCAGTTCATTCCCCCTTTCTTGATGTCTTTCATTACCTGGATGGACCATTTTGCAACTGTTTCTGTTTCTTTAAATTTTAATTGTAAAGCCAACGGTTGTTCCAACCATGTTTTTGTTCTTCTTCTGCCTTGTTATATCCATTCTTTCTACATGGACAAACCATAGTAATGGTTTTAGGATTTGAGGTTCTTACAGCAGTGGTTATGAAGAGTTCTGTCTTCTCAGATATCACATTGGTTACCACCTTCTGCATGCTGGTCTCTTGCATGGCTTACTCATTGACCCAGAAGTAAGAGGTGCCACATTCGTATGAAAAATTTGTTGACTTCCACTGGACTACATAGCGTTATATCCCTGAAGATAGGCGTCTTTATACTGTGACATGTTGTGCAATGGAGGACCCCCCCCCAGCAGTGACGTGGCAGCTCTGGCCACAGTGAAGTAGCCCCCCCCTGGGCTACGTGACACCGCTTCCTACTGTGACGAGGCACATAACGCGCAGTGACGTAACGGCGTGAGGCAACAGCGGTACCGATTACGTAACAGGCAAGCGCTGCACCTATATAAGAATTAAAACATAGCCGCCGCCGAAGTTAATTCTCCAGTCAGCAGTGAACGAGTTAAAACGTAGCCGCTGCCAAAGACAGTGAGTTACAAGTTAACCAGGCAGTCAACCAGTCAGTTGTAGTCTAGCATTTGCAGTCTAGTGTTTGTGATACTGCCCATGGCAGTAATCGTCAGATTGTAATTTGTGTGACTGTAAGAGCGAATGGAATAAATTCGATATATCCAACGAGGCGTGAAGTTATTTGTAGCGTTATACACCCAGAACGTGACAACTGGTGTTTCAGAAGTGGGATTGGACTTACACACGTGACCGACAGGATTCGAACTCAAGACACGTGACAATACTAATAGCTAAGTTCCACCTTTTCCAAAAATTTAATTTATAATTACATCCCTTTTTGTTTCCCCCTCAGTAGTTTTAAAATATTTAATTGCTTTCATCTTGCTTTCCCCCTATAAGAAGCCATGGTTTTGCGTTATATGTTGGTATTGCTCTAAAGTATGCTTTATAGATTGTTGTTTTGTGTTATTTTTAGTACTTTTGGCTCCATAATATTCATTTTATAATTTGATACAATTAGAACTCTTCTGTCTTTCCGTTGATCCAGGTATTTTGTGCTGGAGAAAAATACTGTGTCCATGTTGTTACATTACCTCAGAATCATTGCCTTCACTTTCTATGTTCTTGATTTCCTTAACGCGAGCCTAATATAATTCTGTATGCTGCAGCTTCTCGTTTGCTGCCTGTGTGTCGATGAAGGTCACCACGAACCTGACGCTCAACTACAGTATTGAGGCTGAAACATTCCAGAGTGGACGCAAGTTCTCACGAGTTTGGTTTGGTGGGCAGGAAGGTGACAAGAAACAGTCTCACATAGTGAGGAAGAGAATTGAAATGAAATTTGACCCTTTACGACGCAGAGGAGATGTTAAGAAGTGTGAAACAGAGATAGTGTACCTGAAGGTAATTTTTTGTCAGCCATAATTTTCTGTGTATTTGTCGTATTCTGTACAGAAGTACCAAAATTTTGTTAATTTTGTTTCCATTGTTTCATTTTCAACCAATTTATTTTTTGTCTGCTGTTAAAAGTTTAAAAGTAAAGCTATCCCCCTGATGAGTCATGGAGGCTCATAGGGTTGTGAGATGTTGAGGTTCCCACATTTTCTAGCAGTCGGCTCACAGATTTGTGTTTGTCAGCCTTATGTGCTGGCTGCCCTTTACCTTCCAGGAAAATTCCTGGTACTCATTTCTGTTAGAGACTTAGTCGACCACAGGGCCATAGTGCGGCTGTAAGGATTAGGAAAATTTAAAAGAAATTCACCTCATCAGGACTCGAACCCATGACCTTCCAGCTTGTAGCATAGTGCCTCAACCAATTACGCTACTGCTACCTTTTTGAAAGAACCATTTTACCGTTCATCTATCCCATTGACCAGCATGAGAGTACACAGAGATACTGGGTTTTCGGACTTTGTCCATCGTCTGGATTCTAAATAACTAAGAAAAAAAAACAGTGATTGAGGCCAGCTCTTTTTAAGGGACCCAACAGAGTAGGTGTCTTCCCTCACCTGAGGATGGAAACAGATCCAATTTCTGAAACGTTGTGTTTTTCCCTTAGTTATTTAGAATCCGGACGATGGACAGAGGCTGAAAGCCCAGTATCTCTGTGTGTTACACACCATCGTCAGAACCCTACAGTATCTAGGATGAGAGTAGTTTTCCAAATGCCTTGATCACTTATCCCTTTACCAGTTCATCCCTGAAGGTGGATGCAGAATGTTTCTTTGAAATGCTGTTATCACCCTGCAAGACTAGGTCTCAAAACTTATAAGCTCCATCGACAAATGTGAAATGGAAACAGTGATAGGAGAAAGATGAGGACGATGATGAACAGTGATGAGGGAGAGAGAACTGTAATAATTCCACCACAAAGAAAGCCTCAGTGTGTAAATTTATTTTATAGGAAAACCAGCGAGATATCCAGTCACCAATCAAATTCCAGCTGAAGTATGAGTTGGTACAGAAAGAACCCCCAAGGCTCATACCAGGTCAGCCACTGCCCGATATTGATGATTACCCAGTTCTGAACCAGCAAGAGGCAGCCAAGACGTTTCAGGCAACATTCCAGAATGACTGTGCTGGCGAAATCTGTGTCAGTCAGCTGTATCTTGAAACACGACTCCTCTTGCCGTCAGGTATATAGCTCTTGTTCCATGAGGTAATGTTTTAGTACAGCAGTCCAGTATTCCACTGGGAAGGTGCTCTTCTATGAACATGGTACAAATCTTTGGCTTCTGTAAAACTGAGAAACCAAGGTGATGCTCTAGACCTGTATTTAGGAGGTGGTCAGTTTGAATCTTAGTGAGGACACTGTCTATCCTGACGGGAGATTTCTGTGGGGTTCCTCAGTCTTTTCAGGGATATTCCGTGATGGCACCTTGATTAGGCCATGACCGCTGTCCCTGTTTATCCATCAGTCATCCAGTGCTATATAGTCTAGGTACTGACAGCATTGTTAAATAACATGAAACCAAGAATCTTTCTTAATTGTTGAAAGTTTTATTCAGATCAAGGTCAAAGGGTTGGGCAAGACATGTAGCAACTTGGGATAGATGAGAAATATGTACAAAATTTTAGTCAGAAATTTGAAGTGACGAGACCATTTCCAAGACCTAGGCATAGTTGGGAGTATAATACATGATGTTTCTAATTAGGTTCATGGATTGGCAAGGTAGGGCCCATTGCCTGGCCCCTGTTGTCAGCTAATGTGGCTACAGTTCAGACTGTTTCCTGTGGTGCCACATCAAGGATTGAATGTGTGGGCCCTGGTAACATGAACCTTTAATGAAGTAGAAATGAGGATTGTTACATTTCTTGCCAATCATGGCCTTGACCTTCATATTGTGTTGTGACAGATTTTAATAAAGAAATTGGATGTAATTACATTTGCTTATACTGGATACCAAGCCCTGCCAGAAGCGCTAGGGCTGCACAGAAAGACCCACAGTACTCCCTGATGTTACCTCACATGAGCACAGGTCTGCATAACTCGAAAGGCTATATATGAGACTTGGTGCCGGCTGCTGACCTATGTGTAATTGCTGTACTGTTATGTTACCAGCGAGCTGATCTTTATGGCTGCGGTAATTTTGATGCCAGTACCCTGAGCAGACCCTGTTATATCACATGTATTGTTAGCAGTTTCATGTATCTTATTCGTCATTTTGGTTTAGACTGAATGGGCAAGTGTGGGAGCCAGTGAATGCTACAGGAAATGTAGGATCTGAGATTCTTGCAGCTGTGCTCATGAAGAGTTCCGTCTTCTGCTTGCTACCTTTTTTGCGCTGGTTTCTTGCTTGGCCTGTTCTGAAGATGGAAGCAGTCAGTTCTTCTAAATTGTCAGTTGACTTTCAAAGGATTAGATTGCGTTATGTGCCAGGAATTGTTTGTTTCAGGGCGACATCCCGATACTTGGGATCTGATCATGGGTGAGCAAGAGGCGGTCAGGCTCAACGTGACTGCCTACAACTATGGCGAGTCTGCATACGATGCCTGGCTCTTTGTGTCTCATCCTGCCAGCCTTAATTACACTGCCTACAAGACTGAAGTAAGAGGAGTGTTGAACTACTGACGTTAATTTGACGTGAAAATTATGGAACTGGAAGAATTACAGCTCTTTGTTCAAACACACTTTGAGTAGGTACAGTCGTCTTTATGACTCCGCTAACACAGTTCTTTTGATTCCCAGAGTAAGCACATGAGCTGCACCCCGCATAACAAGACACTGATAAAGTGCAATATTGGCAACCCTTTCAAGCAAGGCACTCCTGCCAACATTCTGCTGCGGTTTGATCCCAAGGGTCTTGCAGATACAGAATCACAGCTGGAGTTCGTTGTATTTGCCAACTCAACATCAAAGGAACTAGATGCTCAGGCGCCATCAGTTCTGCACATCAACGTCATTCGCAGAGCAGAGATCTCTGTCACAGGGTGGGTAAGATTAATGAGTCTGTTGTGTTTGTCAACATGAAATCAAAAGAATTAGACACTCAAAATATATAAAAAATAATTGGAAATATTAATTTGTTCCAGTAGAGTGCCTAATTAATTCTGTTCCTTTAAAAGACATACTTCAGTTTTTCAGTGTTTATTTGCATGAAAAATACTGCTGTTGTACCTACAAAGTGGATTTATTAGCCACCAGGAAAATGTACAACAAAAGGGTATATCTTGAAAGTACAGTCATGAAAGGGGTTCATTTTTAATGATCTTTCTGTTTCATGATGATTAACAGATGACTCTTTCTTTATTGATGTAAGTATAGTTGAGGATTATTTATAGATTTAGGGATGAAACTTGCTTAAGCTCACTACCGTTTCAGTGGTTATTCCTTTTATTTTTATCCACATAGTAGCTTATCTTAAAGTAAGAACTAAACCTGTTTGCTTAGGGACAGTATCCCTAAATGCCTCAGTGAGGCGTACTGTGGCTGCTCTTCCATTGTGGCACAGAGAAAGTGAGCCTCATTCATGAGCATTCTTGTGATGAAGTTGCGAGCTAAATATTGGAATTGAATCTCTGCAGTGGAAATTTTGGCCTCGCCCAATATAATGTTTGCAGGTGTTGAGTCCTTGAGTCCCAGAGCCCTTTTAAGTGCTTTCAACTGGATTTTCTAGATTAGGCCCTTTTGGGATTTAAAGAGGCCATGGATGAGTTCTTGCACTCACCAGCGGTTTGTAAAGGTGATGGAGAAGGTGGGGGATCTGCTCCTACCGTGTGTGTCTCGGCCACTTAAGGATGTCAGTTGCCCCACACTTGTTAGAACAATCATCTACTGACATCTCTGATGAACTGAATTAATGAAAATCTTTGAATACTCTCATATTATGAGACTCATTTTACTGTGCTTATACTGGCTGAAGTGGGAGATGCAGACGCAAGAAACTGCCATCCTGCTGTCAGTGTGTTTAAATGTGCTCAATAAGAATAATTTGTTTCCTCCACAATTTGTCCTTGCTTCAGTTCTGTGCATCCTGATCACGTTTACTATGGAGGAGTCGTGCGTGGAGAATCAGCCATGGGCTACTTGGATGACATTGGCGAGAGGGTGATGCATACTTACCACATCTTCAATCAGGGACCTTGGAAAGTTGGTAGTCTTGAAGTGCATATAGAGTGGCCATTCCAGGTCGCTAACAACAAGCCTCAAGGGAAATGGCTGCTGTACCTTGAGGACAGACCCACTGTAGAAGGTTTGTTACTGTTCATTTTGACAGCACAAAATTTCTTTTATAGTGGATGATGAGATTGTTGAATATTATTGCTACACATTCTGTGGTGTGGCCTGAACGGGCTTCTGTTCTAAGCTTCAACTGTTTGAGGAGAGGAAAGAAGCAGAGAAAACTGGGAGGCTGTACCAGGTTGGCTTAGTAATATGGCACCTTTGTGTGTGATTATTATCCAGGTTTTGAGCAGTGCTCACTAGCCTGGGTGATAAGTGATAAAGTCTTTTAATTCAAATTGGGTTATATAAGTTTTGTGCCCCAATGTAAGAGAAATGAGGAAAGGACACTAGGAGAGCAAGTCATGGCAAGAAAAGCATGAATTTTTACAACATTAAGAAGCAGTGCATGAGACGGGCCAGCGAATGTTGATTGACTAATGGTGAACTGAAAAATTTGGAAATGTCACTGGGTAGCCTTTATGGGAAGGGGCTTAATTTTGATGAATTTAAATTCTGAGGATTGCATGGGAAGTGCACAGTAGCAACTTGGAATGTGGAAACCTCAGTATTTGAAGTGTTCCATCTCCTGGCCTGTAATGCTGTAAAGTTAGCTGACAGGTCAGAGAACCAAATGTCCTCCATATATGATTGAAGGGTAAGCCAAGCATGAAACCAGCATCACACTGGAAGCTTTTGCCGGTTGCCATCTTCAGCGTAGTTCCTTCAATCCCAGAGGTGGAAGTGACATGGCAGTATCAGTTGGCTTCTGATGAACTACACAGTGTTATGTCCCAGAAGCTAGAACTCTTTATAAGCATGGCTACGAGAACCTCAAATCCTGCCTTCTCAGTATTTGCTTGGAGACAGAAAATCAAAGAAAATTTGTGTTGAGATGGCGCCTTTTTCTTTTCCTATTTTTTCTGTACTTCACCCCATCTTCCACTTCCTCCATCTCTTGTGATCCTGCTCTGTCTCATTCTTTCCCTTCCTGCTCCTCTTTGCTCCTCTTCTTTCCCTCCAGCAGCCAGATCCACACAGCTGTGCATTGTGTTCAGGGTCTCAGACAGCCCCGACACTTCCCCTAAAGTTGTGTCGTGTTGCAGGCCAGGGTGGTGGAGAGTGTTTCATTGCACAAAGTCAAGTGAATCCGTTGAACCTGACTCGACGTCCTGGAGTGGAGGAGCCCCCTCTGGAAGCTCTGACCCTCCCTGCAAGGCCTTTAGCTGCTACTGTGGAACCCTTGGATTCCACCTGGGAACCAGAGCGACCTCATACTCGACGTAGGAGGCGAGATATTGAGATGGTTGTCAGAGCTGAGTCTTATGTAGACAAAGATGGGAACAAGCATGAACTTGTTAATATGGTGAGTTCAACTGGTGCAGTGTTCTCCTGTTTTATCTTTTTAATGAAGTAACCATAAGTACTTTGTGGGCGGAAGCCTAGGGTTACGGCTCCATAACTTCTCTTAAGTGGAAATACCTGAAATTGATAAGGTTTATTTGGTATTTTGCATACCAGATTTCCATTCAACTTAATTTATTGCAGACTCAGAAATTGTTGGACAAGGAAAGAAAATGAACATTGCCATCTCTGGGTTGTGGCACCATGTAGTCTGGTAGAAATACACCAGTATTTTGAAGGCACATACTGCCCATTTTCCAAGGGCTGCATGTTCCTCCAAAACGTTCGTACCCTTCTTGCAGACGATATGATGTCACCCCTTTGAAGACACTTCTTCTGAGATTGTTTGGATATGTTTCAGAACTGCCTCCTGGGAACAGCGAAATGTTTAAAATTTCATTGTGTGGTATTTAACTTGCGAAGGAACCATGAGGCTACCATCAGGATACGAGCCAGGTACGGATCATTTTCATGCTCAAATTTTTATATCTGGCCAGCTGCCTGCATGCACCAGCCAACCATTATTTAAATTAATGTAGCATGCAGTCTATATGTCCGTTTCTTTCAGTTCCCTGTGGTAATCTTGCACCATGTCTGGTGATTTTTGGGAGGACATCTTGTGAATCGTATTCCTGTTTGTAGACACGTTCTCTGTTACAGCCTCCATAATATTTCAAGAGATGAGACAGTATTACTCTTAAGTTTCTCTTTAGGCTATGCCATAAGTATGAAGAGATTTAAACTCGCAACAGGAGCTGGTAGCCTGTAAACCATGTAATGATTAGATGAAGCTAATCATGTAAATGTCTGCTTTCCTAAGGTTATGGAACTCAACATTAGTAGAAGATTATCCAAAAGTATACTCGGTGAATATTAAATCACGGGCAAAGATGCATTTGCCACCTGGTCTGATGATCCTTCAGAACCCTGCAGATGATGAGGCACAGGTTAGTACTGGCCTTACTGTGCTTATTTTCATATTACTGAAAATCTTGGATCACATTTACTTATTCTCTTGATTTGTGTTATGGAAAATTTTGTTGAGTTTTCCTCAGTGTGTGTCATAGTTAGGAAATACTAGATTATGATGCTCCCATATTCAGGCTTTTGTCAACGTTGTTTTTAGGCATGTGCAAGTCTGTAATCTTCAAGATCAAATTGAGAAAGAAAAACCTTGCTCTCAATTTGAACATCCATTTTTTTTATGCAGAAGTTCACAAATGTTTAGATAATTTCAACTCAAAAAGGTATGTTGTATTGCAAATTCTGATTAGAGTGAAAGAATTGTAAAATTAGTCTAGTAGAGTAAAACTCTTGTTCACATATCAATTTTCGAATTTTTCCCATATTCACATGTTTGGAGAAGGTAATTCTTGCATGTGTGTATTGTACTTTTCTTGCATTTCAAGGTCAGCGAAGCAAAACTCTGTGCATTGTAGTTTCGGTTGTATGGATATTTACTTACACGATCCACTTAAAAATGTCTAATAGAAGGAGATGCATATAAGGAAGAGATATTTACTGTGAAACACTGTAGAATTTGAGCTTTGCAGTGTGGTGGTTATGAAAAGTTCTGCCTTGTGAGGAACAGGGCTCTTTTGAAGGGCTGTAGTGGAAACAGGCACACTGTGGATGTAGTAGTGGTCTGCGTATTTGGGGTGACTACCACCCCCCCTCCCCCCAGTCATTACTCCATACTCAATGCCATTGTCTGGGATATATTTCCATGTAGTCCATTGAAAATCAGCTGACTTTTCAGAGGTACATGGCGTTTCATCTCAGAAGACAGATCTGTTCTTAGGTACTGGTAGTTTGGATTAAACACACACTACTGATTTTCTGTGAATTTTGTTTGTAGCATGTTCCAGAAACATAACTATGAGTTTTAACATCACATGCTTGGGAAAGTTGGGTAAAATTTATGATGATGTGATTGATACCAGTTTTTCCAAAAACAGTATGTAATTTGATCAGGTTTCATGTATGTGGCCCGTTGATCTTCATTGGAGAACTTCCCCCTCCCCACACTTTTTTTTTTGTTTTGTTTTCTGATCTTGTCTGCTTTGGCCACTAGGTGGAGACGATTGCTTACCGAGACCCTTTGGATCAGCAGGAGCCCGAGCCTGTACCAGTATGGATAATAATTGTAGCAATAGTGGCAGGCCTGTTACTGCTTGTCCTTATCATACTCGTGCTGTGGAGACTTGGCTTCTTCAAACGGCGACGTCCTGATCCAACCCTTTCAGGGAATCTGGAGAAGCACCGAGACGAAAATGGCGATTACTCATCGTAATAACTAACAGTCAGGTTCTTTAGAGTGGGAATATGAACAGTTGTTTCCCCGCCTTTCATCCTGATACCAGTGATATATGGGAATACAGTGTGTGGGCTGCCGTCCTTGTCCAGTAACAAGTTGAATGTACAAATGGCTGCAGCATTCAGTGCAATACGAGGCTTGCTTTGTGTAGATAAAGTAGTTCCTTCAAACAGTAGTGATGTCAGACCCGAATTCACTTTCTGCAAGTCTGTTGCTATGGGCTGTAGAAAAATCCTTGTTCAGTACTGGCTGGTGCATTCTGAATGCTGACAGAACATGGGCTCGATAACTATGGTATTGGGGTTTAGTTCCTAGCAGAAGCAAGGGAGCCTCCAGACTGGCTGTGGTGCCCACCCAGCCTCCTGTCCAATGGCTACCAAGGGCTATTTTCCCAGAAGTTAAGCAGCGGGGATGTATAGGTGACCACTCACCTCCGTCTGGTGCCAAGGTTAAGAACTGTGAATCTGTACTTGCACTCCCCAATGTGTCTTAATGGCATTGTACCTAATTAATTAGGTATGGGGAATACTTTACCTTCATGAAAATTTAATGATTCAGGAAAGACTTGTGGGCAAGTTAGGTGTAGAAAGTGTTGGAAGTCATAGAATTTAAATAAGATCTAAAAGTTTGTGCTGAGGGTACATTAGTACAAATATTATGTTTTTTGACCCTATCCATTGTCTCGTCTTTATCTAAAAACTGTCCTGTTTATTTTTCAAAACACAAAATTTTGGAGACTGGATTCTGTCTCCATCTACAGGTAAAACCTACTCATTGGGCCCAATCAACAGAGCCAGTCCCTATCTCCAGACACCTGTGCCAGCTCAATAAATCAAACACAGCACAAACCATCTGATTTATGTACCTCATGTTGGAGCTGGCACAGGTGTCCGAAGATAGGGACTGGCTCTGTCGATTGGGCCCAATGAGTAGGTTTTGCCCATAGTTGGAGACAGAATCCAGTCTCCAAAACATTGTGTTTTAAAAAAAACAGGACAGTTTTTAGATAAAGGCAAGATGATGGATAATGTCCAAAAATTAATATTTGTATTTCACATAATTTTCTTTGTAATATATCTTAACATAATATGAACTGTATGAAAAGGAAAAATCCAGCCTCTAAGTACTGGCCAGATTAAACTTTGGGCATAGCCTTCTTGGTCAAGTCAGTTAACAGGCACAGAAAGTTCAGCTTAATGAAAAGTAATTTAAATTGTGTGCAATTTGAATGTTTGCCAAAGTTCAAATTGTTAGCAAATTTTAATTTTCCAAGATAACATAGTCTGCTACAATTGCACGCCCTGTATAATTAGCATAGTGCAGTACAGGTTTTATAGATTTTAATTTTGTTGTTGGACAAGATGTGCTTCCACCAACCTGGTAGTGTGCTGGACTGTGTTAAATGTGGTGAATCCAGTGTGGATCCACTTAAATGTTTTGTGTTGAACAAGCCCAGAAAAACTTGAATTGAACTCCCACATGATATGTTCACAGTTCTGCTACCTGTGAAATCCGAGTTTCTCACAGCAGTGTATATGAGGATTACTGTCTTTCAGGACATTAGACTGTGTAAGCAGGCAGAAAGGTACCTGCATTTCAGAGGAATAACTTTCTTTGAGGCAGACCACGAAGAAAGAAATTTCCTCTGAAATGTTTGCAGCACATCCCAGGAGACAGTAGCCTAATGACTTGAGTTCGTTTCATGCATGGCATGATACAGTGGAACTTCAATCTGATCATTGATCTAAGATTTTGCTAATTCATTTGTTCTGTTTCAGTGATCCCAAGTCAATATGTTAGCAGTAAATTACCTACTTTTAAGATTTTTGTAATTTTAAATTCCAAATCCACCGATCTTCAAAGAAACCATAATTGACAGTTTATTTTGTTTTGTATACCACTGTAATAATCACGCATGACACAGCTTGTTGTATGAGATTTTCGTTTATACTGTAGCCCAGGTGCTTTATTAGACTGAAGTGTCAAACAAACAAACATCAACCCTTTCACATCTGTCACAGTACTTTTGTTATTTTTATTGTTTAAAACTGCTTCTTTTCTGCAATTCTAATTAATGTTCAGTGATTGTTCTTAACTGTCATGTTATATTTATTATTTGTGTACAGCATGTTCTGCCTCAGCCATTATCACCGAACACAGTGAATGTTGCAGAAGGGGATGGAATTTTAAGTAATAAAATTAACCGTATAGGATTTGAGGTTCTCACAGCAGTGGTTTTGAAGAGTTATGTCTTGCAGGATCTAACGCTGTGCAGTCTGTTGAAGGGCAACCAACTTTTCGCAAAAACATGTCACCTGCATCATTAGTGTTGAAGAGTAAGCGAAGGAAGACAGCAGGCTTTACTTGGTGCCTTCTTCGTAATGGCTTCTTGCTTGGCTTACTCTCAGCCCTGAGAATTGAGGTGACATGTTCCTCCAAAACATCGCTTGACTTTCAACTTACTGCATGGAGTTATATTCCAAAGATATAACTCTTTTAATAAGGTTAATTAACTATTTCAACAGGATTCTGAAATGTAACATTGTGAGGATGAATGTGTCAGTAGGGTAAAATTGGATAATGTTCAGTCCAGTGTGACATACAAGTTTACAACACTTCAGTCTACACTACACTACTAATAATAAGGTAAGGCCTAACTAGACATGTTAACAAACCCAAAAGTATTATATATAACTATATAAGATAGAAAAAATTAATATAATAATGTATTTACAGAACATAAAATCAAGAGAAATAAACGACATCTCCCACCATCAGGAGGATAACAACATGACCCAATGTCAGCTCACGATATTTTAACATAATAACTAATTTTTTACATGAAGTTTTAATACAATTTTAAATGCCTTGGGAGGCTACTGTATGGAAAAGTGAACATCATATCGCGTGTGTGGAAAACCCCAGTCAGAATAACCAGGAAATACATTTAAAAGAAACATCATCATACGTAAATCTACACATCGAGAAGTGCCATTGTGAGTGCCTAAGACAACCATGATAATAACAAAATTTATATAGTGAGCATTATTCATAGCTTAAGTGCTTATTGTTAATATCTTATGTGACAGTGTTTTCTGATTGTAGTGGTGCGCCTCTGAGGATGATTCTTTTGAATCGAAACATGTAAGGTGAATGAGGACTGAAGTGTTGTAAACTTGTATGTCACACTGGACTGAACATTATCCAATTTGACTCTGTAATTAATAGTGTGACGGGCCAAAATGAGACAAATCAAATTAGTGTCAGTAGGCTATCTACTGCATTATCCTTGCATGTAGTTCATTTTTATTTGTTCAAATTTTATCTCCAGTCTAATCCCAAATATACTCATTCTCTGTTCCTTGTGAATATCTGAACTGTAGTGTTAGACAAAAAGTTGTATATTGAGAAGTAATGGACTTTTCATATTAGTCAAGAGGATCCCACTGAAGGAACAGAATTTTCAAAAGCTATCTCTGCATGTAGTCTCTTGATGTTCATGTTTTATAGATGTTGATGTCTCGTTCACAAAACTTGTCAGGTATAGAGGTATATATTATGTTCTTGTTTGTATTTCAGTAAATCCTTCAGGCCTGGGTACATGTAATATTCTTTTTGAGTATTGGTTTGTCTGCAGTAAGTGGGAGCGTAATGCTAAAAACGGAAGTTCCTGGGCAGTCTGACACATTTCCAGGATGAGTTAATGCTTTCAGAAAATTTCCTTTAAAGTATTTTTGTGAAGGTAGTATTCTACCATTGAAGTGAAATTATCCTTGTTAAAGAAAACAGTGACAGAAGCAGAGGTTACATTAACTAATGCCCTTGTCTAACATTGCTGTGTTTAAAAGAAGTGCCAGGGAAGCGTCCATGAAGTCAGAAAACCACCGAGTCACTACCCCTTTACCTCCTTGCCTTGATTAGAGCCGTGGAGGTAACATTAGAATGTTAATATTACATACTTCTGTTTCATGTTCCCTAAGTTGTCCTGGACTTGCCAGTGGAAGCCATACCAGTCCATGTGTATTTTATTAAATGTTTTAAACCTCAAGAATCGGGAAGTAGGTACATTTTTTTGGCGTGAAGTTTTCTTTGTTTAAACTGTCGTAAGAATGGGATATTTTCTTTCTTCTCTTTCTCTCCAACTTTTTCGGTTCCGTTTTGTAAAAGTATGTGCTGAAAATGTTTCCGATACCAAGTGACATTTCCGTTTTTGAGGGATACGGCATTTTTCATTGTATATTATTTAATGTGTCTGACAGTGAAAAATGCTTTGAATGGAAGTTATTGAACTTTGAACCAAATTAAATTTTATGCACTGTATAGTGTGAACCCCCTCTCCATAATACCAAAATTCATCAGAATTGACTGTGTAATTCCAGAGATGATACACACAGATTGAAAAGCAGACAGACATGATCGCCATATTATCTGTTCATTATGTGTTTTTGTGTGCTTTATACAAAGAATGCATGAAAAGTGATTGAGAGAATTTCAGAACTCTTAAAGAACATGAAAGTGAAAGGGTTGAACTAACAGAAAACTGTTGGATTTGTGGTGATCATGAAGCTTTCAATCTTCTGGGATGTGATGTCATATAGTCTGGTAGAATTTTACCAAAATACGTCCCAGATTTTAGTGAACTTCTGTCAGACTATATGGTGTCACATTCTCGAAGATAGCAGAATACTGTTCATGCATTGTACATGGTGATAATTTCAGTCTTCAACTAATTGAACTGACTGAGAACTAGCTTCAGAACGGGAAAGTTTGGGAGACTCAGCAGTTTCCATGGACTTTGTCAGTAAACCCACATCATACCTTCACAAGAAGTCAAGTGCACTGAACTCCTGTAATGTCAGTAACAGTCAGCATTTTTGTAATTATGAACAATAACTAGAGATTCTCGTGTATTGTCATGTGAAAGTTGTGATGTCAAGTTATGGTGCATGAATGCAACATTTCAGGTAATTTATGTAAAGAACAGAAGATTGCTATAGAAGTTGTCAGTGTTGTTAATGCAACTGTATTTAAAAAAATTCTAAATTTCCTGGAAGTGTCTGATTATTGTGTGAAAGTGTTTTGAGAATTGTCAGATCAGTTGAATTATTTAATAAGATGCACCTTAGAGGGCTCATTTAATTTCTGTGGTGCTTTAAGTTTGTCATGTAACTGTAAACTGATAGTCCAGCAGATTGATTGTTTTAATGTACAGCATGTTCATGTGGCAATTGTAGCAGATTTCAATCATCCTGCTATAGAACCTGTTGTTGTTTGGTTGTTCTCTGTTGTAACAACATTAGTAGAATATGGATTCCTTGCTCAGAATTGTGACTAAGCTATGGGAGGGACAACTGAGGAACCACACTTTGATTCCCAGCAAGGGCAGGAGATTTTTTACTTCTCCGCTACATCCCAATTGACTTTTGGGTCCATCCCGTCTCCAATCCAATGGATAACAGGAGTGTTAAACTAATCATGTACTCCATCTAGTGCTGAGGTTAAGAATTTATGAACCTGTTTCTCCACTCCTCTGCACACCATTATGGCATGGTGCTTAATTAAGCATGGGGACTTTTTCTTACCTGTGAAAGACAACTTTGTGGTGAACTGCTAACAGGAACTGTGAAAACAAGGCATTCTGTGCACAACTGAAAGCTTTCATTCCTGCTGCACAGATTGTC